GCCACCGCTGCTGCCACCACCACTATTGCTGAGCCAGATGGCTGCGTGACAGCGGCTGCTGCAGTTCCTGCCTGCTGCTTCTCCTTGGCTGCTTCCTCCAAAAAGGAGCGACGGTCGCACCCGGTGCAGCTGGAAGCCCAGCACAGCCGCTGTTCTTCCACAGGGGGAAGAGAGCGCAGGCAGCGGAGGAGCGCATGGGGTGGGGAAAGAGCCACGGCTGCCAGACTCCCTCTGGTGCATTGTGTGTGGCCACTGCCAGAGAAAAGCAGTGAGTGGGGAAGCCACTCATTCATTGCTGCAGCAAGCCCCGAGGAAGAGCGGCACAACCCGCAGGGGAATCCCATCTGGCTGCATTCTTTGCAGCTGAAAGAAGGGCTTTCATCCCACTTCCCCTTCACTCCAGCCGGGTTCATGAATGCCAGATCTAACCCCAGGGGGGTTCAAAAGGCCAGCAGGCTGGCTGGGAGTTTTGGGTTGGAGACGTACGAGCCTTCCTCTGTCTTCTCTTCTGAGAAACAGATCTGATAGCCAAGAAGGGAGCCCTTCCCTGTGAATTTGACTTCAAGGATGCCCTGGAATGTCAAATGGTTAAATAACTGCAAAAGCCACAGTTCCCAATCACAGAAACAATGCAAGAAATCCTCTTTTGCTTTCAATCAAGCTGTGAGAGACCAGCTACCAGTGTGGCTCCTGGAAGACACATGCTTGCAGAAAGCAAGCAAAAAGCAAGTGAGCGGGCAGGAGCACAAGATCAGCATTTCTGAGCACACATGGATCCATGCGGGGCGGTCAGAAGGCACTCAGAAGCCCCAAGTGGGGTGCTTGGAAGGCACTCTGAAACTGTCCCTCGTGCGTGTGTGTTCAGCTTCCACACCGCCACCATTGCCAGCACCCACAATCTGCCCAGCCTCCCCTCTGCCTGATTTGTGCAGCTCCTCCTGGGCTCTCCACGCCTGCCATTAGCCCTTCTACCACTTACAGAGTAAGGTTGGCACCTCTACCCCCACCCAGATGCCCTCGCCTCCCCCAAGCATTTTTTTTACTAAGCTGCTTTCAGCTGCACTCCTTTTTTCCTTTTGCTTCTCTGCCTTCATTTGCTTCTCTGCCTTCGCTACGTGTTGTGGGACTATCGGTAAAAAAGAAAAAAAGTTCCATGAGACTTTCTAACTTCTCACAAGATATATTAATTTCAGTGCAGGGTTTCCCATGATTCTTGAGTTGTTTTGCCCTTTAGGATTTCCATCCATGGGATTTTTCCTAGATTCTCTCTGATTTTGTTAAAGTCATCTCTTTTGAAGTTTAGGACTTTGTTTGGATTGTTTTTATTACTAGTGTTTGCCTTATATTAAATTTCAGTATGATGTAGTCACTTTCACCCAAGATTCTGGTAATTTCAATTCCCTTTATGACTTGTTCTCTATTTGTAAGGATTAAGTCCAATATAGCTTTGTGTCTAGTTCCCTCCTCCACATTTTGGGTGTCAAAGTTGTCTGCTAGGTTGGTTAGGAATCTGTTTGATCTCCCGCTCACTGCAGAGTTTGTCGCCCAGTTGATATCTGGATAGTTGAAGTCTCCCATTACTACTGCGGTATGCTTCCTGCATACATTTGTTAACTGGTTGGCAAAGACTTCATCTATTTCTTCTGATTGGTTGGGTGGCCTGTAATATATACCTATAGTATGTCCCTTTTTTTCTCTTTTATATTGATCTATATACATTCCAGAGAGATTTTGTCTTGGATCATGTGCATTTCTGCAGATGTGAAGTGTTCTCTTACATATAATGCAACTCCCCCTCCTCTTTTTGTAGACCTGTTTCTTTTGAACAATTTATATCCGTCTATCAATCCATTCCATTCATGGGTTTCGTCCCACCAGGTTTATGTTATGCCAATTATGTCATACCCTCCCTCATGTACTATTGCTTCTAGTGCACCCTGTTTGTTCTGTGATAGTGGAGGTGTTAGAATGCAGCATTGTAGGCTAATTCTGCCAACTGCCAGCAGTTTGATCCTGACCAGCTGAAGGTTGACCCATCCTTCCATCCTTCCAAGATTGGTAAAATGAAGACCTAAATTGTTGGGGAAAATATGCTGACTCTTTAAACTACCACTATGAAGCAGTATATAAGTCTAAGTGCTATTGCTATATTTAAAAAGAAAAATCTTGTTTTAGAACAAAAAGGAAGAATTACAGAAGAAAATTAAATTGATCAAATAGAAGAATTTTGAACATGCAAATCAACCAGTTTATCAACTCTAAAAGAGAAAGAAACACAATTAATATCAGCAATAAAGAAAAGAAATAAGCTGTTGCATTAAAAATAGGTAAGAATAGAAAAATTGATAGTTTTCTTGGAGGATCTTGAGGTCAACATTGATGAAGCTGCTATGAATAAATATATTGAAAAGTGGGATATCAGAGAATTCAGTGACCAACATAGACAAATATTAAGCACACCCATAACAGTTCAAGAAATGAAAATGGTTTCCATGTTGGAAGCAATTAAGAAAAATTGTATGGTATGGTATTGAGTTTTATACAGCACCCAGAGTTCCTCTTTGAAGGAGAAGGGCTGTACAGAAATGTGATAAACAAATAAACAGACAAACAAAGTATGGTTTACAGCAGGGGTGTCAAACTGCCAACTTGCAGACCGGATGCGTCATCCGGAAGCCATACCCACCCCATTGTCAGCAATGGCAAAACCAGCCCGATACGTTGCATGATGTCACATGACATCGTGAGTTTGACACCCTTGGTTTACAGCGAGTCATTCAATTGTTTAAGGAAACAACAAGAATTAAGCATTGAAGCCAGAATATACCACAGCTGATATATTTACAAATTTCTGGAAGGGTAAAATTTGATCAAAAGAGTGAAGAAGAGACACTGAGAAAAATGACAGAATCTGAATACTTCTTTAATCAATTTTATTTATGGCTAAAAGGCTTCAAAGCAAGTTACAGACAATCTAAACTTGGCATAGGATAAAACAATTCAATGGCTAAAATATTTAATAAATACTACATAAATAATAGATTTTAAACTCCAGTTTACTGCTTATTTATTAAAAGCCTTGTTTTTAATAGTTAAAAATCTGGCTGTTGCAATTGTAATCTTGGTATTTGCATCTTCATACATACTCAGAAGTATCTCTTTCTGATTTAGATATTAAAATTGGCCAGATAACTACCTGCCAAAGACTATTATAAAATTTGCAATCTCCTCTATTTGTCCTAAATATGACATGGAGTAGAGCCAATAAATAATTGATAAATAATCATTTGTAAACTGCTCAGAGTTGAATATGAGTTGAGTGACATATAAAAGCAATATATTTTTAATGTTGCTATTATTTATATTCTGTAAAAAAAAGGATGTAAATCTTTAAAGAACCAATTACTAATAGTGTATGTTCGCAACAGAGGTTTAATCAAATTCAAGCAACAATGCTTCCATATACATAATATGGCTGACAAATTTTGTCATTGTCTTTCAACACTTCACTTAGCTTTAAATCTTCAATTTAAACAATCTTTTCCTCATTAATATTCCAGAAACCATAGTTAATTTTGACACAAATGTGACGTACAAATACAGTCAAACCAGTGGTGGGATTCAAATATGTGAACAACCATTTCTCTGTGTGGATACCACTTCCAGAAGTCCATTTTGGATCTGGGCAACAAAAAATTAGCTACCAATTCTGCCACAGTGGTGCAAACTGACTGAAGCCCACCACTGAGTCAAACCAATATCTTCTAGGGCAGTGATGGCAAACCTTTTAGAGGCCGAGTGCCCAAACTGCAACCCAAAACTCATTGTTGGGTGCCGGGTGGGTATGGCCCATTGGGTGGGTATGGCCCATTGGGTGGGCGTAGCTGCGATGGTAACAGCAGACTGGGTGGAACTAAAAAGTTCAATCAATCAATTCCAACATTGCAAGATCTTTTTTTTTCCCGCAAGAAGTTGAAATTGATTGATTGAATCTTCTTCTTTTTTTTCACATGGCGGCGGAGGCCTAAAGCGAAAAGGTTTTATAAAACTCAGCTGAAGGCCTAGGATTGGGGCAATAGAGAGGGCTCTGTGTTACCTGTGGCACATGTGCCATAGGTTCTCCACCACGGTTCTAGGGAAATATATAATTACAAATCTCTCTCTCTTTCTGTCTCTCTCTCTCTCTTTTTCTTTCTCCCCCCAGGTGAATGCAACAATGAATTGGATTTCTACAAGACTGCTATCACTATCAGGCTAAAGTCAATCATTAATTAAAAAAGAACAGAAACCACTCATTTGATGCAACAATTGAAGTAGGGCAGAATGAGCTGCTATCCAAGGCTCATGAATAAGTGATATCAAAATTAAACATGCTGACAAAGAGATCGTGAATAAGGTGAATTATGTAAGGAAAATAGAAACAATTCTCCACCATCTTTTTCTAATATTTCTCCTCAGTTCCCACAACAATACATTACCTGAGACTTTCATGCCTAAAGGGGACAAGAAAAGATGGTTTCCTAGTTTCTAGCTCAGCACCTTGCCTGCTAAACTGAAGTAGTCTTCAGATTTACAGAATTGGGGCACGAGATATTGGTGTGGATTTTTCTCTACATTTAATAAAATGATTGAGGAGAATATTGGGAGTGTTTTTCTTTGGTGGACGTGGGGGCATCATGAAGGTCAATTGCTACAAGACATGGAACATTTCATTTTGAGATTAGTGTACGTTATAACATTAACAATTGATTTTCATGCACCATTGTCTTCTTGATTATCTATTCTCTATTACTTTGATCAAGGATCAGAGCAATTATCTAACATTTGAAAAAAGCTCTCTAAGTTCTGAAGTTAATTTGGAAGGCTGCCTTGTACAATATGTCACCTTGATATGCTGAAGGAGGGATGATTGCAGAATCCCAAACTTTAAAACAACAACAACTATATGCTGAAAGTCACCAATTTAATTACATTCAAGGGGTCTGGTATAAAAATCAGTTTCATTTCTTTATTAGTTGTTTCTTCTTATTCAGATCAGGTCTTAGAATAATGATATAACATTTAGGCATAAATATGCAATTTAGTAATCCAGCTGCAGAAGCCAAAATGGAGAAGATTTCCACAGCCACCATGTACTTCCCCTTGGTGCTCAGATAGGTGGGAACAAATGTTACCCAGACACTGCAAAAGACCAACATGCTGAAGGTGATAAATTTGGCTTCATTGAAACTATCAGGTAAATTCCTAGCTAGGAAGGCCACCGTGAAACTGATAGCAGTCAAGAATCCCAAAAATCCAAGGACTGTATAAAACATTGTAGTTGAACCTTCATTACATTGCAGGACAATTTCTTCAGCCATGGAGTGTTTGTCATAATCTGGAAAAGGGGGAGAAATTACCAGCCATAGTACACAAATGGTGAGTTGTACCAAGGAGCAAAATAGGACAATTATGTTTGCCAGCCTTTTCCCCACCCATTTCCTCATTTTGGAGCCTGGTTTGGTGGCCATGAAAGCTAGAACCACTATGATTGTTTTCCCCAATATGCAAGAAAGAGCTACTGAGAAGAGGATGCCAAAAACAATTTGTCGCAAGAGACATTTCACTTGATTAGGTTGCCCAATGAAGAACAAAGTGCAAAGGAAGGAAAGGAGAAGAGCACTGAGAAGGCAATAAGTGAGATTTATGTTGTTAGCTTTGACAATGGGAGTTTCCTGGTTTTTAATGAAGATCACCAGAATCATAGCTGTGATGAAAGAAAATAAGATAGCATTCACTACCAAACAAATCCCCAGAGATTCTTGATATGTCAAGTAATTTATGCTTTTTTGAATGCACATATCTTGATCTTTGTTTGGATATTGATACTCTGGACATGTAAGACAATCATCCAAGTCTGTTGAAAAAAATGAAACAAAAAATAAAATCACAGGTTTTGGACATTAATCATTACTCACAGATTAGATCCACTAAGACAGGGGTCCCCAATCCCTGGGCCATGGACCGGTACTGGCCGTGGCCAGTTAGGAACCAGACCACACAGCTGGAGGTGCGCTGAAGGCACCTTCCACCTCTGGGCATGAGGTGAGAATGCAGAGGTCTGGGCAGGGGCAGGAGAGTGTCTTGCTCAGTGCAAAGGTCCTCTTGCAGCTGCACTTCCAACTGGCTATTCCTCCTCCTGCTACTTCTTCTTCCTCCTCCTCTTCTTCCTCACTTTCCTCACTTTCTTCCTCTTCCCCTTCCAGCACCCCACTGAGCTTGCACACCCTTCATACAACTCTCCAAGTTTGCAAGACAAAGGTATGCTAGCCCAGCTTGAAACTGAGAGCTTCCCCAAAGCCTCATTGGAGGGGGACCCTCCCAAGGTATGTGTGTGTGTGGGTGTCTTTTTGTGGTTTATTTTGGTGTGTGTGTGTGTGTGTGTGTGTGTGTGTGTGTGTGTGTTCCTCCTTTCTTCTGCAGCTCTCCAAGTTTGCAATCCAAGTGCACTCCTACCCAGCTTGCAAAAGGGGAGAGGGAGGGGAGAAGCTACATTTCCCCTTAAGCACTGTGTCTCCAAGGGAATCCCTCTCTCATTTGTACCTTTTTTGAGACTGCTGGCTAGCACAGTGCTGAGTTATAATGCAATTTATAATATGCTTGTCAAGTTACAAAGAACCAAGTCCAAATTCAAAGAGTGTTCATTTACTGTTTTGTTGCTCAAATCTATGCACTGTTATCTTTTCAACTAATTGTTTGCATCTGGGTAAAGCTAGATAAGATTCAATGGAATTCAAAGGGTGTTAGACCTTATAATGTTGGTTTTGTATGTTTTTAATGATCAAATGCATTACTGAGCTATGAACATTCAATTCAAATATTTCATTGCTGAACTATTCAGGAATTTCAGACACCATAATATTGATGAAAAATTCAGACCCCATTTATATTTATTGAATCATTGATATAGATTCACATATAATTTGCTTACCCAGTTGGTCTGCTATCATTCCTTTTGGACACCGTCTACAGTCATAACAGCAGGATAATTTCCCTTCCACTTTTAACTTGCTATGGCCAAGAGGACATTTCTTGTTACAGATGGAAAGAGGTAATGTCTGTATAGAAATAAAATCAGAATTCTTTCAAGTGAAGAATGTATGTTTCATGATAGTCCTTTTCATCAATTAGACATAGCCACATTCTTCATATGTAATTCAAAGTTTGTTCTGCAGTTTTCTAGATTTCTTTCTAGTTTAAATTCCCTTTCCAATCCCTCAATTGCTTCTAATCACACACTTATTACATTAATGGATTGATTGAGCCAAACCTAATATTCTAAATATCTGTTCTAAAAAAATCAGAACCAGTAGCAGATGGTGAGAGAGCTTTTAATTCTCAAATCCTTGGAGCATATTTTCCCTGAGGTTCTAATTTTTTTATTAGGGTCCTACCGTTGCTATAGCTCTTTCAAAACTAGGTTGAATTTTCCATTTTCCATAAACATCTCTTATTAAAAGATTTGTGAACATTTTATTGAAAAAAATCCAATTTTTAAAACAGAGTTATTTTTGATCTGGCTGCTTATAGCCGAATGATGTTTGTTTGTTTGAAACATGAGCAGATTGAAAACAAAGCACATCTTTAACTATTTACAGGTAATACCAATCATTTCCTCACATTCTTGTTCCCAAAAGAAGTTTGCACTGAGATAAGAGACTTTTTTTAGAAGAGACAGGACAATGATTTTTCTGAAATAATATAGGATTTGAGTAGTACAACCCCCTGAGCAGTGGGTTGTACGAGAATACTTCCAAGATCCCTTCCAATAATAATAATAATAATAATAATAATAATAATAATAATAATAATAATAATAATAATAATAATTCCCCCAGTGAGGCACTACCTTGACCCCCAGTGAGGCACTACCTTGACGTGGTTGTGGGGCTTGTGTACTCTGAGGAAGATGAGAGCTATGCCAGAGGTTCAACCATACTGGACAGGTCTCATCAGAGGAGTCAGACAAAGAGTGTCTCTCCCATAAAAAATATGGTGAGACGTAAATTTCAGAATGCCATACCGGCTCGGACGTCGCCCGGGTTAACAAGGTCCGCACTAGATATTGGAGTTCCTGGATATCTGGTGAAAAATGGGTTACAGGACTCAGGACTGTTGGCTGAGCAACCAGGGCCAGCAGCTGCAGAACTACTGGAAGAAAAGGTGTTTACCCGTCGCAGATACACAGTGATGGAAAACAAAGAAATAATGATCTGTTACTACAGATCAAGTCCAACAAGACGAGGATATCTAAAACGAATGCACCAGTTCTGGAAAGAACAACATCCAGAATCAGAAATAACAGAACAGAGACTAGCAGATCAACGCCGATTTATAACACGAAATAAAGTATTTACAGAAACAGAATTGGACGAACTGCAAAGGTTTACCCAGGGCAAAGAAATCAAACCCTTACCAGAAGTAATTCAGAATGTAGAGGCAAACCAGGGGGAGTTGGCCGTGAAAGAATCCAGTAGAGATATACAACTGTTCTCATTTGGAAACCAGGCACCTCTTCCTCAGGAAGAACAAAACCCTCTAACTAAAGAAATAAAAGAATTGAAACAAAGAATAACTGAGCATCTAGAACAGCACAAAAACAACAGAATAAGGCTGCCTGCATTGAAGCTTGTTTCAAAGAAACAGCTAGCACAAGCATTAAAAGATGCAAATACTGCAATAGCAAGTATAAGCACCAATTCACTGCAAGAAACAAACCAACTAATGTACAGCACAGCTGCAGTTATAACAGAATACCTGGGATGCAAAATCAACAAAGAAGAAAAACAAACAAACAGTGCACCACAAAAATGGAAGGTTAGACTAGAAAATAAGATCAGCAAGTTAAGATCACATGCAAGCAAGCTAGAACAGATGAAAGAAAAGAAGCTGAAGAACAAGAAGACCAAAGAATACCTAATCAAGAAATACCACTTAGAAACAAGGAAGATCAAGGAAGCACTGGAAATAATAAAGCAACAAATAACAGCTATAGCCAGGAAAATCAGTAGATATGAAGCTCGAATTGCAAACTATAGGCAGAACCTCCAATTTCAATCCAATCAGAAACGTTTCTACCAATCCATCAATGGAGAAACTGCAAGGAATCAGTCAGTACCTGACAAGGAAGAAACAGTGCAGTTCTGGAAGCAGATATGGGATAACCCAAAGAAATACAACAAGGATGCGGCTTGGTTAAAAGAGGTGGATGCAAATAAAACAGAAGTTGAAATGAAAGAACTAGTAATAACAACAAAAATGGTAGAAAAAAGAGCAAAGAAAATCAAAAATTGGTCAGCACCAGGTGAAGATGAACTGCATGGGTTTTGGTTGAAACATCTAACTGTTATACACCCACTCATTGCCAAGCAGTTCAACAATATACTACAAGGAGGAGAAATTGAAAAGTGGCTAACAACTGGGAAAACCTACCTAATAATGAAAAATCCAGCAAAAGGGGCAACACCAGGTAACTACAGGCCAATTACCTGCTTACCAACAACTTTCAAATTACTAACTGGTGTAGTAGCTGATGCAGTACAACAGCATCTAGTTGAAAACAATCTCTTTCCACCTGAGCAGAAAGGAAACCGCCCCAATAGCAGAGGAACAAAAGATCAACTCCTAATAGACAAAATGATCTTGGAAAACTGCAAGAGAAGGAAGACCAACCTGAATGTGGCATGGATTGACTACAAAAAGGCATTTGACTCTCTGCCACATGATTGGATAATCAAGTGCCTAGAAATAACAGGAGTCAGTAGAAACATCAGAAAATTTGTGCAAAGATCGATGGCACAATGGAAGACACAGTTGCAGATCAATGGTGAGAGGCTGGGAGAGGTTAATATCAAGAGAGGAATATTTCAAGGAGATTCATTATCACCATTACTATTTGTTATTGCACTGTTTCCTCTGTCAACAATACTGAATAACTCAGGACATGGCTATCAAACATCAAAAACATCTGCTAGACTATCCCACCTCCTTTACATGGATGATCTGAAGCTGTATGGAAAAACATCATCTGAAATAGAATCGCTGCTCAACACTGTCCGTATATATAGCCAAGATATTGTAATGGAGTTTGGCTTGGACAAATGTGCCACACTTACTATCAAACAAGGAAAAATAATGAAAACTGAAGGAATCAAGATGCCCCACGAAAATAACATTAAGAGTCTGGATGAGGAAGAGTACTACAAATACTTGGGTATCCTTCAAGCTGACAACATCAAGCACACTGAAGTCAAGAAAAAGATTAGAGGTGAATACATCAAGAGAGTGAAGAAGATCTTAAAGTCCAAACTCAATGGAGGAAATACCATAAAGGCAATCAACACCTGGGCAATCCCAGTCATTAGGTACACAGCTGGAATAGTGGACTGGACTCAAGCAGAACTAAAAGCAATGGATAGGCAGACCAGAAAAATAATGACAATGAATCATGCCCTTCATCCACGCAGTGACATTGATAGACTTTATCTACCAAGGCAAATAGGTGGGCGTGGAATGCTACAAGTACATCAGATGGTTGAAGAAGAAAAAATGGCTTTGGAAGAATATCTGAAGAACAATGATGAAGATGCACTGAAATTAGTATATCAGGAAGGCTTACTGACTACTGGAGAGACCAAACTGGCCTACAAGAAAGACCAAATGAAGAACAGAATAGAGGCATGGGAAGACAAAGCACTACATGGCCAATACATGAAAAAAATAGCTGGGAAAGCAGATAATAATAAAACCTGGCAATGGCTAAGAGCAGGAAAATTGAAGAAAGAGACCGAGGGACTAATTCTGGCTGCACAAGACCAAGCCTTAAGGACAAATGCATACAAAGTCAAAATTGAGAAGACAGCAACAGACAGTAAGTGCCGCCTATGCAAAGAAGCTGAAGAAACAGTGGACCACTTGGTAAGCTGTTGCAAGAAGATTGCACAAACTGATTACAAGCAGCGGCATGACAAAGTAGCAACAATGGTGCATTGGAAGATCTGCAAAAAATATCATTTGCCTGTAAGCAAAAACTGGTGGGATCATAAAATTAAAGTCATAGAAAATGATAAAATTAAACTGCTCTGGGACTTCAGAATTCAAACAGACAAGCACCTGCAACATAACACCCCAGACTTAACAATTGTCGATAAGAAAGACAAAAAAGTCTGGATAGTGGACGTGGCAGTGCCTGGAGACAGCAGAATAGAAGAGAAAGAACTGGAGAAGATAACAAAATACAAAGACCTACAAATAGAAATAGAAAGACTGTGGCAAAAACAAGCAAGGGTAGTACCAATAGTCATAGGCTCCTTGGGTGCAATCCCAAAACAACTGGAGCACTACTTGAACACCATTGGCATTGACAAATTCGCTATTAGTCAATTGCAAAAGGCGGCCTTATTAGGAACTACTTCCATCCTGCGACGATACCTGTAATACCATCAAACATCCACATCTGCCTATCCCAGGTCCTGGGTAAGGACTCGATAGGTAGACAAAATGCCAAATCCAGTCTGAACATCTGGCTGACTGTGCGATGATCCATATAATTATTATTATTATTATTATTCACCCAGACTGGATTTGACATTTACCAAGGACCTGGGATAGGCAGATGTGGATGTTTGAATTGATGTATTACAGATATTGTCACAGGATGGAAGCTGTTCCTAGTAAGACTGCTTTTTGCAGTTGACTGATGACGAATTTGTCAGTACCTCCTTCCCCAGATTAGTGAATTTTATAGGAAATGTGAAATAATATTTGGAGTGATACTATACTTTGATGATAGAAGACAGAGAGAGAGAGAGAGAGAGAGAGAGAGAGAGAGAGAGAGAGAGAGAGAGAGAGAGAGAGAGAGAGATGATAGATATAGACAGACAGACAGATAGACAGACAGAATATATTTGAAATATAGTAATAGTAATAGTAGTAAAGTTGGAAGGGACCTTGGAGGTCATCTAGTCCAACCCCCTGCTCGGGCAGGAAACCCTACACCATTTCGGACAAGTGGCTGTCCAGTCTCTTCTTAAAAACTTCCAGTGTTTGGAGCATTTACTGCTTCTGGAGACAGGTTGTTCCACTGATTAATTGTTCTCACTGTCAGGAAGTTTCTCCTTAGTTCTAGGTTGCTTCTCTCCTTGATTAGTTTCCACCCGTTGCTTCTTGTCCTGCCTTCAGGTGCTTTGGAAAATAGCTTAATTCCCTCTTCTTTATGGAAGCCCCTGAGATATTGGAATACTGCTATCATGTCCCCCCTTGTCCTTCTCTTCGTTAAACTAGAAATACCCAATTCTAGCAACTGTTCCTTATATGTTTTAGCCTCCAGTCCCCTAATCATCTTTGTTGCTCTTCTCTGTACTCTTTCTAGAGTCTCAACATCTTTTTTAAATCGTGGTGACCAAAACTGGATGCAGTATTTCAAGTGTGGCCTTACCAAGGCATTGAAAAGTGATATTAATACTTCACGTGATCTTGATTCTATCTCTCTGTTAATGCAGCCTAGCACTGTGTTGGCCTTTTTGGCAGCTGCAGCACACATATATTTCCAAAACAAAGTTTTTGCAGGCTGTTTCATCTATTTGAGGCTGCTAAGTAGCTTGATCCAATTGTTTATGTTTTAAGCATTGCTTGGCATATGTCAGTCACTAAATAGTTTCCTAAAAAGTAAGAAATGAGACACACCTGGTTAAATATGGGGGGCCAAACAGCATCCTTTGCAGAAATGGTAAGGACCTTGTCTGGGGAAGCCATGGGATCGATCTTTCCAACTTGGACTCTCAGAAAGGACTTGTTTGGGAATGTGACCCAATTGAGAATATCAAATCCAGTTAGTAATTCTCCATTGGGGCCAAAAGAAACTTCTTCATTAGCACTATTGTTAAAGGAGATTTTCTGCAAATAATGGTGGAGCTAAAGAAAAGAAGGAAGGAAGGAAGGAAGGAAGGAAGGAAGGAAGGAAGGAAGGTAGGAAGGATAACAGCATTCTTTAAATAGTACCAGCAAATCTCAGTATATTCTTTTTAATTTTGACTATGTTTGAAAAATAAGGTGTTAAATTTTACATCAGTTTATAGCATTTAAAAATTGGAAGATAAATATGCAATTTTTAACCTATTGCTTAACTAAAATATTATAGTTGAAAATATTTAAAATGAGAATTCCATCACAAAACTGAGAAATTGAAAAGTCCAACAGGTCATTTACTCTGATCAATTGAATAATGAATAATTAATAATAATTTTTTGTAACTTTTAATGTACACTGATTGACATACAATAAAATGAAATTGCATACAGCTCTCAAAGGGTCACCACCTCTGATATACACTACATAAATATGGCAAAAACAAACAAACAAACAAACAAACAAACAAACAAACAAATAAATACAGAATTATGCATCTTCTTCTTGTGCCATATCTGTTATCGGACATTGGCGATTATGTTGGAGATCCTTTTTTTTATCAGCAGCCACATGAAAAAATGCTGCTGAGTTTTGCCCAAACCAGTCCCTTAGATTTTGAAGCCATGATGTTCTTCTACTGCCTGGACCTCATTTGCCTTCAATCTTTCCCTGGAGGATTAAATGGAGTATGCCGTATTTTGGGGGGGTGTCGCATCACATGTCCGAAATATTCTAATTTTCGTTTTTTTAATAGTTTTGATGATTTCCCTTGGCTTTCCCAGGCAGCTTATCACCTCCTCATTTCTGATCTTGTCAACCGAGCTTATATGTAACAGCTGCTTCTAAATCCACATTTCAAATGCTTCTAGTCTCTTCAGGTGGCCTTCTGTCAGAGACCAACTCTCTACTCCATAGAGCAGGATAGAAAAAATATAGCATCTGACAAGCCTAATTTTCAGTCTTAGGCTTATGTCGTGACTGCAGAAGACCTTTTTCATTTTGAAGAATGCTGTTTGGGCTTTTTCTATCCTTTTCTTTACTTCAACGGTCATGTCCCAGCTTTCATGTAAATTAGAACCAAGATGCGTGATCCTTTCAACTTTTTCTAGTGGTATTCCTTTTGAATTTATTGGTGGTAAATTAACGGGTTGTTTGCTGATGACCATGATCTTGGTTTTTGAGATGTTAAGCTTCAAGCTGTATTTTTCAGATATTTCTGTGACTCTGTTGATGAGGAGCTGAAGGTCTTCATGCTTACTGGCAAGCAGAACTGTATCGTCAGCATATCTTAAGTTGTTGATCCAAACACCATTTACTTTGATTTTATATATATATATATATATATATATATATATATATATATATATATATATATATATATATATATATATTAATGTATGTGTGTATATGTGTGTGTGTGTATATATATATATATATAATAAAATTTGGATTGCTAACAAAGAATTAAGGGAGAATGGGATAGCTATTTCGAGTTTCTTAACTCTCTTCAGCCACACTTACCCTTCTGAGATTCGAGCCTGGGCTGTGTACATGTTAGGCAGCTGTATTTACCTCTAGGCCACAGGCTCCTTCTCGCTTTGTCAGCTGTATCAGGGAGGGAAGATATATATATTTGTTTTCTGAGGTTTTTGCGGGTGTTTGTATGTAGGTCTTTGGTGTGTGTGTGTATATGTATGTATGTATGTGTATATATATGTATATATATATATATATATATATATATATATATATATATATATATATATATACACATACACACACATATATAATATATGTGGGTATATTATGCATATACCCAAAAATATTATATAACACAAAGAAACAACCATCTAGTGATGCAGTTTGTTAAAACCCTGTCAATTGTGCCTCTGTAAAAAGTAGCCAGGACAGAAGGAGAAAGATGTGTTCTCCTTGTATGATGCAGGAAATGCAGCCACTGGTTTGCCCGCTGATGACCATCCTGAACTCGGCATTGCACAACATTACCTGCCATGATGATTGAAGGAAGAGTTTCCATCTCTTTTTATTCATTATTTGACCTTCTTTGAGTTTGGCGGAGTGCAATGCCTTCAGAGCATATGCTACAGCATAGACTGCATTATAGATGCTGTAACTATGTCCACTTATGGTCATCTCAAACACAGAATTTGAAAGAGTCTCCAGCTTCTCTTCTCCAGTGCAGACCCTTTCAGTATTCTCATCTGTAACATCACTGGAGAATGAGCATTCAAATGCATCTTTCCAGAAATCCTTAATGAAACCATCTTCTTTGTCAAAGTTTGGGTTTCTGTTCTGCATAAATTGTTGGAATCCAGTCAGCTCCTTTGAGTGAATTGCAAAGGCAAAAGCACCATGGAGAAAATCAATGGGCAACTGTCTTTGCATTAGGATGGAGGTGAATTCCATCTGGGCTGTCATGATCCAAATTTTGGATTTTCTCTCCTTGGAAATATCCTCAGAATCTAATAAATAGATCATTATTCTCAAAGTCATTATGGTCCAAATTTCACCATTCAAGATTACTGCACTGACAGTACTCCCCATGATGACTTGATATACTTTATCTGTCTCTTCAATCATTTGAGCAGCTTCATTACCATACATCATTTGGTTGATACATCCCATAAAGTCAAAGCAGATTCCTCTCTCAGAAAACTTGGAAAGCCATTTTTGAATGAACCTCTGTTTACTGTCTTCATCCATAAAAACTATACCAACCCAGGTCCATCCAAACTGTAACAGTAAGTGTAGTATTCCATTAAACTGATGCATCTCATTTGGGAACATCCAGTTGAAAAAACCCACATCTGCTTCATTATTCATCAAGGGAGCTGATCCATATGTGATCTAAATACATGGGGGAAATAATATATTTCATCAAAGAAATAATTCTAAATGTATGTGGATCTGGAAGCTTAGAACTATATAGTCAGCATTAAAAAACAGTAGAGGACTAATTCCTTCTGATCTCAAAAATGGATCAATTTCTTTGCTCAAGATTTCAAGCATTTGAGATACTTCTGAGAAAAAGTATCACGAGGCCCTTTGGGGTTGTAGGTAAGCAGAGGACGGGGTGAGGGACAATGCTGGAGAAATAGTGGAGAAAAGGCATAAAGAACCAATCATTGAAAACCTGATGAAAGAAGTAGGAGGCATATTCTATCTTAAAATAGATATATTATATTAATAAACCTTTCTAAAAATCTTCAGAAGAAGATAAATTACAATACTTTAGTTCTATCATGCTACTTTCTGAAATGGCATCTAAAATTAATATATGAAATGAAATCAGGAATAAATTCTGTATTCTCCATTCTTTGGCTTGGTGAAATAAATAATAATTTCTCTTATTTTGATCCATATTTATATCTTACCTGTGGAAACTTATAGTTATGCAATATAATTGCCATGTTGAGACAGGTCTTTCTCTGTGGTCCTCCTATCACTGCTGCTGCACTGTTCTGGATATCACACTTGTAATTGGGGATAAATCTGCCTTTTGTAGAGAGAAGTTCCATTGCTAAAAGATATGTTGTGCTTTCCAGAGAATTGTCAGTAGCAATGTGGAAACCAAGGGTAATGTTAGGTAAAATTCTAGTATGTTCATTGATCTCTTTTACAGCAAATGCCAGAGCCAAAGTGTGTTGGTAATTATGAGTGAGGAACCTTCAGTGAGAGTAATAAAACACATTGATATATTCTTTCTTTAGAATCTGATAGCAGATCAGTTTTCTTGTTTTACACCATACAGAATACAAAATAACAGAGTTGGAAGGGACCTTGGATATCTTCTAGTCCAACCCCATGCTCAGGCAGGAAACCCTATACTATTTCAGACAAATGGTTGTCCAATCTCTTCCTAAAAACTTCCAGTGTTGGAGAATTCACAACGTCTGGAGGCAAGTTGTTCCACTGATTAATTCTTCTCTCTGTCAGGAAATTTCTCTTTAGTTCTAGGTTGCTTCTCTCCTTGATTAGTTTCCACCCGTTGTTTCTTGTCCTGCCTTCAGGTGCTTCGGAAAATAGCTTGACTCCCTCTTCTTTGTGGCAGCCCCTGAGATATTGGAACACTGCTATCATGTCCCCCCTCGTCCTTCTCTTCATTAAACTAGACATACCCAATTCCAGCAACTGTTCCTCATATGTTTTAGCCTCCGGTCCCCTAATCATCTTTGTTGCTCTTCTCTGTACTCTTTCTAGAGTCTCAACATATTTTTTTTTACATTGTGGTGATCAAAGCTGGATGCAGTTTTCCAAGTATGGTCTTGGAATCACACCATCACAGCAACACATTTAGTGTGTGTGTATTGTTTGCTGTAGACTCCTGGACTCTTATGGTTACCAAATGATAGTCCAAAATGTATGAGTTTCAAAAAGGAGTTTCAAATGACCTAATCATGGTTAGTTAGAAAAAAGTGGAATTGCACCAAAGTCTATGATCTCTTTAGCTGTCTTAATCTAGTGAGTATCAGATTTATGGTAGAATTTCTCTGTCAGGATTTTTCATAATGTAACATTTGCAGTAACATCTCAAAAAAGAGTCAAGTGAAGGGGGAACAGTTATATTTTAGGGAAAAAATATTCCACAATTAGCTTAAATTTGAGTTTTGTCTTAATTTCATAAGTTGTAAATCAGTTCAGATATTCTACCATAGACCTGTGAAAGATTGAAATAGGTTCTCAAAAACCCCTGAGAGATTTCTGCTTCATTTCTTGATGAAGTAAAAGAGAGGACATAAAGGTGAATCAAAACTCATGTAGTTTATTTTTAAGTCATCTATATGGCCTACATCTATGACATCATCTATATGGGTAGTTTATATAGAAGACTCTGAATTTTTCTGTGAAAGAAAATTCATGTAATTGCATGTATATAATCAATAGGTTTTGCCTCGATGTAAACTGCAATGTTAAAGTAAGTCAGCTTGGCGGAAGCTTAGAAGTGGTTTCATCATTTGATTTGATGATTTTGTTATATTATGGACTTCAAATATGTATAAATGGCTGTCTTTGTTTGATTCTTATTATTCTTGGCTAACTAAATAGACATTATTGGGAAAGATTCCATTGACTATGTACTTGGGACAGGAACCTAATCAGTATTGTTTAAAGAAATAAATGTAAGATGATTATCAAAGGAATCTTTCTTTACAAAGTAATAAGTAATAAAGAAGATGGGAAAATCATATTTCAGGGACATCTATATGATCTTAATCTTCTTAAATAATTTCAAGTCTGGTTTAGAATATTATGGAACTATACCGTCTTCATTCACTGTAATGTATGTCCTACCTAAGGAACTTGATAGGGTGAGTGTGGAATATTACCTTGAATTTCACAGAGAGCTTTCATTCCTTATCGATGGCATCTTTGTGGATCACCTTCAGAGAACTTCCACTATAGTAATTCTAGTCCTTCTTTGGCCATATTCAGATAAATAGAGCAAAATATGGTGCCAAGCTGTTGCTTCTTTCTTTTTGATATTTACCTGAAAACACTGGAAGAGTCTTTCCAGAGTTCTAGATTTCAGAAGCAACTAAACATGGCAATTGCTAATAGTAGTAAAATAACCAGCCAGCAGTAGAAGAAGCAGTAGCACAAATGTGAAAGAAGGGAAATACTTACAGATACTGATCAAGCAATTCATGAGAAGGAAGACTTTGAAAAGTAATCTCAGATGAAACAAAAATGATCTGATAAATGATGGCAGAAATGATGAAATCTCCAGACTGATAATACTTGTGAACAGTTGGAAGAGGACTACTACTGATGTTGCAGATGGGAAGAGGAAAAATGGGCATTACCTTAGGAAGAATGTCTAAAACTACTGCAATGAATATCAACATCTCAATATAAAATATAGCTATTTGAGACATCCAGCAGTAATTTTGATTTCACCATTCAATTTTTGAGAAACAGGACCTCCATTAATCAGACAATCCTTAATATAACCTAAAATGTACCTAATAAGAGTTCAGGTTCAAATACATAAATCCTTCTTTATATCTCTACCTACATCTCTGTTTTTTTCTAAGCCAATATTGATATAATGTTTTAATCTGGCTACTGGAATTCTCTTGAGAAATAAAGAAGGGTTAATTACTACATTTAATTCAATAATTCCAGGGCATCGTTTCCTTAAAATAGTAGCTTCCTCACAGCATGTCAAAAGTTAACATATTTAACCATTAACAATAAATACCACTGAACTTCTGTCAACTTTGCAGACTAAATTATTTTTTTTTCCATTTTTAAAATTTTATTCCCAAGGTTAAGATACTAACTCTAAAAGAAAAGAAAACTAAACAGGAAAAAATTTGCATAAAAAGAAGAAAAACAAAATATTTACATAGATTGTCCCCCTCCACCAGTTGAATGCTGGTTAATATATTTCAGCAATAGTCATTTCTTCCCTTGCAAAACAGTTCCACAATTTATGAACATCTCTGTTTATCCAACCAATTTGATCTAGCATCTATCTACTATTTTTTAAAAGAGCAGTTTTGTCAGGTAAATCCAATATCAAAGCTAAACTTCAAAGGCCTCTGTTAACAATCTGTTATTGTATTTAATCCACAGAAAGTTCACCATACCCCTCTGCAGTCATTATCTCTGATCCATCCAGGATCAAATATCCTCAACTGATTCTTAATAATAAAACTAAAGACTAAATTATAAAGTAAAATGGATGGAGAAGACCATATGTACAGGGCAAGAAGCTTTTGGAATTTTTCTATTATGGGAGCTGGGTAAAAATGTATAATACCTGTAAATTATCACATCTGGGGCAAGGTGAATATAGATGTTTTCCATATACATTTATTTATTGTATAAGCAAATTCATATGGCCACCCAACTCAGGTTACTCCAAGTGACTTTATATAGGGGGAGATATCCATTTGGTGGCTACTTTGAGGGCTTTTAATAACATAAAGACATTTTATTTTTGAAGGTTTCTATCTGTCCCTTACACTTAAAAAAGGAGGAACATCTGGCCCCAATGAGTTTAGAGATGATTTGAGTACAATGAACCAACCCAGTTGGAAAAAAAAACCCTATAGGCAAGAAGACCTAGACGTTGGTCCAGTTTTAGGCTTCCGGTTTGCGATTGCAGTGCTGGTGGATGTGCGAAGTGATTACTCCCTCTGCTGTCTGGTTTTCTGCCACCGGAGGGACCCTGAAAAGGGTCGGAAGTCACCCTGGAGGGGCGACGAGCATGAAGAGGACTCCTGAGTGATCCCAGACAACTCTTTGAACTGATGACCCATCACTAAGCCGCTACTAGCCAAGGCCAAAATTACTAGCAAGCACTTTGAAAGCACCGTGGAGGAATTGGGTGAAATTCTACCTTCTTTGTACCCCAAGTATCTTTTGTAAAAAGCATCTTAATTGCTTCCCCCTGTGAGGACAGAGGGAAGGGAACATTTTCCTCCCACCTTCTAAAATGGTGGCATCTGTCTACCTCTGGGACATAAAGCCTTGAAAAGAACAACTAAATAATTGGATTTTCATGTATTTGATATTCAGGGACCCAAAAAGTTCCTACTTTCATGGGAATTTGCTACTCTATCTATTCATAAAAAAGATGAAAAAGAACTTAAATTGGACAAAAACTTGGCTTGGGATTTGAAAAAGATTTTAAATGCTATTGAGGACATCTTGTGGCAAAACCTGGTACAGCAAGTGAATATTCTTGACAAAAAGACCTCCACATAGCCCAGATCAGTCCTTGGTATTATCTAAAAGAGATTAAAAGCTGAGAGAACAGCTGGGTGGTGAAATTGCTTTTTAGGACTGTGGAGGTGAATACTCACTGACTCTCACTTAATAAATAGCCTTCACTAAAAGACCATTTATAACCTATTAGAAATGGAGGAGGACCAGCAACTAATTTTGGCTAATTAGAAACGTATACCTGAAAAAATTCTTGAAGCTACTGAGATAATTAAAGCTAGACAGAAAGACAAAAGTGCCAGCTTAAACCCACAAAGCGAAACCCTGATTGCAACCAAACAACTTACATTTCAAAAAACAATAGAAGTGGAAGAAATTAATACCAAGACAAAGGACTTTAAAGAACAAGTTCAATGTATTGAAAATCTAGACAACCAAACCCTGATTGCAACTAAAGAATCTACAACCCAAAATACAATAGTCGGAGAAAGTAATACCAGGATCGAGGGTGCTAAAGATCAACAACTACAGCCTACTGAAAACCTAGACAAACAAACAACAATCATAAAATTGGACATGACTTTCTACTTACATCAGAGAAACCTGAGGAAGAAGACCAGATTGAATTGAATACAAATATACTAGAGCAAATATGAGGATCTGGGCCACCAGGGCGACAACTTAACAACCCTAAATGGGCCAATTCCTCTGGAAAATTGATAACCAGATGGTCTCCTTTGATCCAACTAACATG